AGTTTGGTATCAGTAACGATGTATTTGCTCTCTATGAGATGCAGAGATTTTCAAGAAATATTCCGAATGGTAGCAACAGTTAGAAATAATCTGAGTGGTAGCAACAACTACCCGTTAGCAAAGCTGCCAATGATCCCAATTTTTGAGAGTGACTTTCACTTAGAAGCAAGCTTATAGTGGATCTGATTCCCTGTTACGTGCCAATACAAATTTACCATCGAAATGAACGAAAGTATCGTAGAAGAGTTGGTAATTTCATTAGCGGAGTCGAACCCTCGATCTTCCATGTGACGGCAGTGTACTTGCCACTGAGGAGTTCTTTAAGCAAAGGTTGAAGCACTGCCAATTTTCTATAAAAGCGAATTTTACCGGAATACCAGTACTGATCAAACAACCACTGAGAATATTATTGATGCTACCGGGGTGCTCGCACACGTCGGTCCTTTCTATCTTGGCTTGCATACTTCCAGCTAGTGTCAACTGGCCGCCCGTTTGGTGGATGTATGTGTATCATCTCTCGAAGGGCCGCTCCAGCGGTTATTTTCATTCTTGCGGGTATCATTATATTTTAAAAAAGAGGAAAAGCGCTTCTCGTGTATCACCTCCTTCTTCCCGAACTAACTGAAATATGTTAATACTACAAAGTATTCATTTCAGGTAGCAGGAATCGAGCTACCGTTCGATTCATGCAATGTTGCCCGTTCCCGTTCGCTGAATCCACGTGGTATCTACGTCAGTGCTGTAGTGGTCATAACATTCCATCCACAGTTCATCACAAAAGTGGATCGTGCTTATCGCATTCAGTGCTTTTACATGGAAGCCGATAAAACAGTGAGCACGCAGATTGAAGTGTCCGACATCACCACTGCCTTCCAGACACAAGTGGTACCAATGCCAATCTGTCGATATGAGGTACCATTTTAAGAAATTAATGCAAATTATCGAGGAAAATTATGCTAGTTAGCTGCATTCTTTGTTCAAAAGTCAAAACCTTCTTCGCAGTGACTGCTTACGAGAGAATAAATTACTCTGGAATGATCCGAGTGTAAATGCATATGTCAAATGTGATGATCTTACAGCAGACTGTCGATAGCACCTTTTTACGAAGGTTGCTTACAAGCAAGGCGATGATAGGGTTTAGCTCCTCAGCATACGCCAGTACCAATTTACCGTCGGCACCAATACATTTTCCCAATGATTAATGAATCTTCAGCATCTTCGATTTTCTGATGTTTATTTCACTGCGCGAATAAATGCATACTTTTAAAATTCTAGCTTAACTAAGTAGCTGTACTTAGAACAGTTGCACTCACTGCCCCAAAATGTCCTATAGTAATTCGTATTTAATATTCAGTTACTGAGTTTCTATGATTATTAGTGCACTTCATTATTCAAAAGAACTTACAAATAGCGTTCTTTTTTCCGTTCATTTAAGGCTCACTTTAGGATATACAGGAGCAACATAAAGAGGTAAATTTTTCTGTGGTCCTACCATTAGTAGAGAAAATAAACTGCGCAAAAATTGATGAACTCGATCAATAACTTTAAAATACTTACATCGATACTTTAATCAGCTGCTGTTTTATTGTCTTGTTCTTTCTCGCTACAGTTGAGCCAATAACATCTCCATTTTGTTCTGAGTCGCTCTCGATCCAAAATTTTCATATTAGGCGCTAATCTGGCACCTTTTAATGCTATTCGATGATCCGTTTTGTCCATCTGTTGTTTCTCAATTTTTCCAGAAAAACAAGTTAAGGCTGCTGTCCATTTCTGCACTTTTAAGAGCTGAACAAACAATCCCAATTAACACATTCGAAAGCATCATTATCTATAAAGAGAAATATGCTTTTTCCTGCTTGCTGGGATGACTGAGTGATTTCAGCACACAGCCAAAAATAAAAGCTGCAAATCTTGGTGCATACTTATGTGTATTCTGACTGACGCTTTCTTTTAGATCCTGGAAGGTGGGCCAACTGGGTCACCCATCAAATATGCACTCATTGGGCAGCAAGTCTATCACAAATGGACTTGTGATTCGGAAACGGTGGATACATTCTGTGCCGTTGTGCATTCATGCTTCGTGGATGATGGGAATGGCGATACCGTAGAGATTCTTGACGAGAGCGGTTGCGCTCTGGACAAGTATCTTCTCAATAATTTGGAATATCCAACAGGTAACAGCTTTCATGAGAAACTATATTAGCTTTGTCGATGTGAGCAGTAGCACAGGCGCCCGCTTTTTCACTTTTCAGAAACATGCTTGTTTAAAGGTAGTCTAATGTCTATTTATTCGATTTT